ACACACACACACACACACACACACACAGACACACACACACAGACAGCAGAAGTTAGTTGGAAAAGAGAGAAGGCAGCTCATGTTACCTACCACAGAGAAGGAGGGAGGAACAAAGAGACACGAGAAGGGACAAGAGCGTCCCATCTCCCTAGCTTCTGCCCCTGGGGAAACCTAACGTCTCATTCCCAGAAAAAGACTTCACTGCTCCTAGAAACCAGATTACAATGAAGTAACTCACATTGCTGAAGATGTTTTTCTGCCATTGAGAGTCAGAGCTGCTATCTATATTCCAGAAGCGGATGGTGTTGTCTGAGGAACAAGTCAGAAAAGACCCGGATGGCAGACAAGCTCTCTGATCTTCTTCAAACTCAGGATACACCTACAGTGCCAGAGAACAAGGCAATATTGGAATGATGGATGATAATGATACATGAGGGCAAAAAAAACCAAAAAAAAAACCACAAAAAACCTAAGCTAAAGCTTGAAAGAGTGGTGGACTATCCCTGTAATCCCAGCAGCAGCTAGGAGTTGAGGCAGGAGGATCAGAAGTTCCTTTCAGACTTAGCTACAAACTGAGTTGAAAACTAGCCTGGGGGTCTGGAGAGATGGCTCAGTGGTTAAAAGCACTCACTGGCTGTTCTTCCAAAGGACCCAGGTTCAATTCCCAACACCCACGTAGCAGCTCACAACTAACTGTAATTCTAGTTCCAGGGGATCTGAAAACTAGCCTGGGCTACGTGAGACCTTAGCTCAAATAGGAAGAAAAGCCAGCCTGGCAGTGGTGGCACACGCCTCTAATTCCAGCACTCGGGGGCAGAGGCAGGTGGATCTCTGAGTTTGAGGCCAGCTTGGACAACAGCATGATTTACGAAGAGAAACCCTGTCTTGGGGAAAAAACAAAACAAAACAACAACAAAAAAGAAATAAACATTTTGAGATCTATGTAACAAGATCCTGCCTAAAAAAAAAAAAAAAAAAAAAAAAAAAAAAAAAAAAAAAAAGCCAGGAGAAGTGGTGTAAGCCAGCACTTGGGAGGCAGAGGCAGATGCTATTCTTTGAGTTCAAAGCCAGCTAGGGATACACATGAGACCCTGTCTAAAAGTGTGTGTGTGTGTGTGTGTGTGTGTGTGTGTGTGTGTGTGTGTGTGTGTGTGTTTCCCAGATAGAAACAACAACAACAAAAAGTAACCATTTTCAGAATTGAATAATTGCCACTCTTCAACTCTGGTACATATGAATAATAGGACAGTCTCATTTAATAACTCATTTGACAACTAGGAGTCACCTTAGTACCCTGAATGATCTAACAATTAGCAGGGTGGGGATATACTCAGTGGTAAGGTACTTACATAGTATGGATAAAGTCCTGGGTTCAGTCCTCAGTAGCAAAAACCTAAACAACAACAAAAATACCCATGCCAATTCCCACTGAAAAATTAAACAGGGGTTTTAAAAATGTCTGGATCCAGGCCTGAGACAAGAAATGTACAAGCTGAAGCTGAAGCATCTTGGTGCCTACCATTAAGGTACTACCAAAGACTACCAGGGTTGCTTCCAAACCCAGAAACCCATGTTAAAGAAGCTCCTGTCGGCCAAGAATAAACAAGTTGAATTCTAACAATGTTAATGATGATGAACAAAATCACATCCGGTTTATTAAAATATGAGTTTATATAATGCTATGAATTGAATCGACCAGGTACATTCAGCAGGCAGAGAACCAACTGGTTGTCTTGGAAACAGGCAAGTAAAGGGAAAGAATCAAACACTGTTGGGCGTTGGTGGCGCACGCCTTTAGTCCCAGCACTTGGGAGGCAGAGGCAGGCGGATCTCTGTGAGTTCAAGACCAGCCTGGTCCGGCAGATCGACTTCCAGGACAGGCTCCAAAGCCACAGAGACCCTGTCTCGAAACACCCCTCCTCAAAAAAAAAAAAAAAAAAAAAAGGAAATGGATCTTGAGCATTGAAACTCAATATCTGCTAACAACAGTCAGTTAGCTGTACATAGCTTTTTCTTTGTTAAAAAAAAACCTGGCCAGGCGTTGGTGGTGTACGCCTTTAATCCCAGCACTCGGGAGGCAGAGGCAGGCGGATCTCTGTGAGTTCGAGGCCAGCCTGGTCTCCAGAGCAAGCTCCAGGATAGGCTCCAAAGCCACAGAGAAGCCCTGTCTCAAAAACAAAACAAAGCACCTGTTTTTTTTCATTTTATACTTATGGAAGCTTTGCCTGCATGTATGTACACCACGTGCATGCAATGCCACAAAGGTCAGGAGAGGGAGACGGTCTGGAACTGGAGCCATCACCTCCCACTCAGGTTGTCTTCAAGAGCACCAAGTGCTCTTAACCTCTTAACCAATGAGCCATCTCTGCCCCGGCTCTGAACAAGCTTTTGCACAATGCCCCTTTCTTTCTTTTATTCTCTGGTCTTCAACTCAGAGATCTGGCAGCCTCAGCTCTCAGAACTGCTTGGGTAGTAATCAATCCTGTCCAAGTTTTTCTTTTCTTTGAGACAGGTTCTCATGTAGCCCAGGTTGGCCTTGAATGTTCTGTACAGCCAAGGATGACCTTGAACTCCTAATCTGCCTGCCTCTACCTCTCAAGCACTGGTTACCAAACCTAGCTCCACTTGTGTCTTTCAGCACAAGGGTTAAATGGGTTCTCTGAGCTCTATGGGAAATACGTGAGCTGAGCCCCAGTGGAGACACAGCTGGACACAGGGAAGAAGGGAAGGAAAGAGGGTCTCACCTCCACATTCCAGACGAAAGAGCTATGGAAGAGCTCTGACCACATTTTGCTGACGTCATTGATGTCCCTGACGTCCCAGATATAGATGCTATGGTCCTTATAAACACAGGAAAGCCACTTGTGGACAGGGTCAAAGGTCAGTGCCACCGTATCTGGGTAGACTGCTTCTGCTTTTCTGTGGAAGAGGGAGCTACCAAAGCCACATGGGTCAGTCACCATCAATGCCAGTGAGCCATTCCTATGTCTCTGGGGTTGACCTCCTTTCTACTCTAATCCCACTTCTTGGTCCTCTCTTTTCTTTTGCTTTGCTTCTAACATAGATTGAAAACTAGAAGTACCTAGGGTCTGGCCATGAGAGCACATTTTTTTCATGATTTATTATTTGTTGTTAACTTAGAAATGAAAATAAGACTGTGAGAAGTTACAAAAGCATGCAGCTTCATGGAGCTCACCAAACAGTGGTGGTACCTATTGTACTTTAGTTAAAATTGGCTTGGGCTGAAGGTGGTGCAAGGACCACACACTTGATGGTCTCAATGGTGAGATGATCAACAGCATCTTCCATCTGCACCCCACACACCAATGAGAACACTGGAAGTAAATTCAAAGCCAAGAATGGTGGCGCAAACCTTTAATCCTAGCGCTGGGAGGCGGAGACAGGCGGATCTCTGAATTCAAGAACAGTCAGAGCTACACAGAGAAGCCCTGTGGTGGGGGTGGGGGCAGTGGAAAATAAATTCAAGGGAAAATTGGCTACTACTATAGCCAGGAAGTAGAAGGCATCACTGGTGTCTCAAGTCTCTGTAGACACTGGTTTACAAAATCAAGTCTAAAAAGGAAGAGTCCTCTGAGAGCATTCTGAGTTGCTCTTTTTTATGTTTATTTTATGTGCAAGGTGCTTCACCGTAATGCATGTTCGCATCACGTGTGTGCTTGGTACCCATAAAGACCACAAGAGGGCACCAGATCTCTGGGAGTTAGACTATTGTGAGTCTCCCTGTGGGTGCTGGGAATAGAACCCAGGTCTTCTTGAAGAGCAGCCGGTACTCTTAATCATCACTGAGTCATCTCACCAGTTCCTTGTTGTTTTGAAATAGGACCTTACTACATAGTTGGCCTGGCACTTGCTGTGTAGACCAGGATGGCCTTGAACTTGCAAAGACCTGCTGCTGGTGTGTGCCAACAATGACCAGCTGAGTTACTGACTAACTATCATTCCATTCAACCCCAGACCCTGTCCATTTCTGTCCAGAGGGAAAATGAGCATATACCTCAGGCCTCCTCTCTTCTGTCTGGCCTTACTAATAACTGAGCCAAACAGCAGTGCAAGGGGCTGAGGTGCTGTCCCTAAGCCTTGTGTTTCCTACAAAGGCTGTAGCTCACTTAGTACCTGCTGCGTGCTATTCAAGTCTCCCCACTACCAGGAGAAGCCATTCTGTTTTACAGACGAGGGGGCAAACTCAGAGGGGCACGCTGGCTACCCGAGACCTCCCGGCACACTACCGTAGGTAGAGGAGCTAGGCAGTCTGGCTACTGCACTACGCCATGATGTGTGGCTGGGACAACTTTCTCTTTCCTTTACACATTCAGTCACCCATCTAGCATTCTCTTGGGGAAGCTACTGGCCTGGGAGCTAACAATGTACAAAGAGGCAGCCCACCATGGTTAGATACCCACGCCACTTTCCACAAGTGAGACTTACAACGAAGGGAACAGCCACGGCTTGGTCCTTCCCTCCACCCTGGACATGGCAAAGTCACATGATTCTGCATTCAAGGGCTTCTGACGCAACCCCCTGTGGCCACCCTACAGACCTCAGAGGACACACACTCATCCAGCTGGTCTCCGTCAGTTTTCCAGCCACCCAGTCTCACAGCCCCTTGCTAGTCCTGCAACATGCAACATCCACTGTGCTGTCCTTTTATGGCATTTAACTTGCTACCAACACAGCTGGCCTCTCATACCAGACAATGGCCACAGCCCTGCCCAGCAGGCTTCTAAGTGTCGGCTTTCTTTCAGCTTTATCTCATCTGTGTACTCCTCACAGAGCTCCCTCCCTGTACCAAGGTTTTCCTGGCAGAGATTTACGTTTTTGTTTGCTGATTTTCTTACCTCCTCCTCCTTTTTTTAAAGACAGGGTTTCTGGGAAGCCCTGGTTGTCCTGGAACTAGCTCTTGTAGACCAGGCTGGCCTCAAACTCAGAGATCCATCCACTTGCTTCTGCCTCCCGAGGGCTGGGATTAAATGGGTGTGGGTGTGTCACAACAGCTGGACGCCAGCAGAGACTTTGCTGGCTCGGCTTACAGCTTTCCACCTTGGGCTGCCACTGAGTAGCTGCTCAGTAAATGTTACCAGACAGGGGAGCACATTCTGTTGTCTTCACTACTGCCCAGGCTTGGCCCTGGGCAGGACTTTTATGCTGTACTCACTGCCATTAATGCTCAGAGCTAAGAGCAGTCATTAGGATTTATAGTATGGACACTCAATCAATGGACAGGAAAGCATGACGGACTCTCAACACCCCCCCCCTCCCACCAGTGCAGAACAGTACCTGGAGTCCAGGCCCTGGGCCACGGTGGCTTGGGCAGGTTGGCGAGGTACTGCAGGCTATGGGCCTGGAAGATTCGGACTATCCCATCTGTGCATCCACAGAAGATCAGCTGCTCACTGACACACAGGCAGGAAGAAAAGGAGACCTGAGGGAACAGACTCAAGTGAACTTGGTGTTTTATGTGATTCTGAAATCAGAAAATAGCAACCTGCAGGCAGAAGTGGGACTTGGAGCAGAGTCATCCCTGAATTCACAGAGGGACTTAACTGTGTAAAGATCTGTCAAGGACGGAGACAGGGCTCAGCAGTCAAGAGCACTTGTTCTTGCAGAGGACCCAAGTTCAACTCCCACCCACATGGTGCCTCACAACTATCCACAACCCTAACTCCAGTTTCAGGGGATTCAACACCCTCATCCTACCGCCACAGCAGCAGGCTCACAAGGAGCACACATGCATACATGCAGGCTCAACACTCACACGCGTAAAAGAAAAATAAAGACATCTGAAAAGAGTACTTTTACAGCAGTGACTCTGGCAGGTCACTTACTGGGTGGAAATTCAGACCAGGACATGTAAAGGGCATTGTAAGCGGCAGACTCTAGACAGATTCCAGCTTTCTATAGGGACTTTTTTTTTTTTTTTTTGAAACAGGGTTTGCTTTGGAGCCTGGAACTAGCTCTGTAGACCAGGCTGGCCTCAAACTCACGGAACTGTTCTTGGATTATGCTTTTGTGCCCCTCCCAGGTGCAGTTTACAGAATCCAGCTGACTTCAAATTATTCACTACACTGGCTACTGTTACAGTTTATATGACTACAGAAGAACATGTTTCTGCCACTTGAGGACAAATTATTCACTACACTGGCTACTGTTACAGTTGATATGCCTGCCCCCGTGACTGGACCCTTTACTCATGTGACGACTCTTAACCCTCAGAGCATACACTGACTGATGCTCTGAATGAAGCTGGCTACTGCATAAGACTTTGGTCCTCCTCATTCATCAGCTCCATCCTCCCAGGTCCCACCGGCTTTAGAGTAGTGACAGAGGATCTGAGTTCGGGTACCAGCACCCACATGCCAGTCCACAACTGTCTGCAAGGAGCTCCGGGGAATCTGACGCCCTCTTCTGGCTTCTGTGGGCACCTACACTCACATTTACACAAACATACAAACACACAAGTAAAAATAAAATTATTTCTCTAAACGATGCTTAAGTTCCCAGGACAGATAAAATCTGGAACTCTTCCACATGCTATAAACTCTGAAGGCAAATTCTGGGGGCAGTCACAGAGGCCAGCCAGGGAAAGGCAAATTCTGGGGACAGTCACGGAGGCCAGGGCGGGAAAGGCAAATTCTGGGGACAATCACAGAGGCCAGCCAGGGAAAGGAGCAAAAAGCATATCTGTTCCACCCACTGCCAATATGCGTGACTGAGCTTGGAGCTGGTGAAAGGTCTAGATACCAACTGAGGTACTAGGAGGAAAAAAAAATTTCTGCAATTTATTAAACATTTATCTTTAGTCTAAAATTTTACATATTTTGCACAGGCTTTTCTTTTTTGACAGAAAAAATAGTAGGAGCAAGATATTTAAGAAAAAAATGTCTCCTGTGTATTATCTCACATGACTTTCTTGGCAACTTTGAGAAAGATGATATTGCCATTTAATTGGGGGGGGGGGGGTTTGAGAGAGGATTTCTCTGTGTAGCCCTGATTGTCCAGGAACTCACTCTGTAGACCAGGCTGGTCTCAAACTCAGAGAGATCCACCTGCCTCTGCCTCCCCAGTGCCGGGATTAAAGGCGTGCACAACGCCTGACTCCATTGAAAATTTTCCTGACTTATTTGTTCAGGGAGAAGGGATGTTCTGGTACCACGTGCACAGTGAGAGGACAATTTGTAGGGGTCTGTTCTTTCCTTCCAGTCTCAGGAAGGAAAAGGATCTCAGGCTGCCGGGCTTGGAGACAGGCACTTTTACTTGTTTGGCTATCTCACTGGCCTAGTATTTGCTTTTACAAACGAGGAGATGAGGAAACTCAGAAAGGGAGACTCTCACATGGAGCCTGTGGGGGTTTTTTAGGGGGAGGGGCAGGTTTTTTGAGCCTGGGTTTCTCTGTGTAGCCCTGGCTGTCCTGCACAAAAAGAGATCATCTGCCTCTGCCTGACGAGTGCTGGGATTAATGACATGTGCAACCACTGCCCAGCTCACATGGAAGCTCTGTAGTCAGTCACTAACTTGAAGCTAGGTGTGGGGGCGCACACATGCAATTCTAGCACTCAGGAGGCTGGGGCAAGGGGATCATGAGCTGGAGGACAAACTCAGCTTCACAATGAAGGGGAGACACAAAACACCTCAGTCCCTCCTCAAAGCACGAGGAGGTGTACTGTAGAGTGGGGAGACACAGGCAGTGCACAGGGGTACCGCAGGATACACTAGGGAAAGAGCAGCTCCCCGGCTGACCGCTGGCTGAGAGGGAGGTGGGTACCTTCAGGTTGATCCACTTCTCCAGCATCCTCTTCTCATTGAACTGGCAGAGGAGGCCGGAGTAGGACACACAGAACGTATTGCCCGACATGTGGCCCCGGCCGCAGGCTACACCACAGAAGATATTATTGTGCAGTTCACCCAGGATGCCTGAGCGCCCTACCAAGGGCACTGTGCCAGTCACCTGGAAGCAGAGGAGGACATTTTAGAGATTACCCTCTTGCCTAGTTCTCAGCCGTGCTCAATGGGCCCTTCCTGACACAGGCAAACAGGAGGATGTCTAAGAAAGTCCTCCAGGGCTGGAGAGATGGCTCAGAAGTTAAGAGCACAGGCTGCTCTTCCAAAGGTCATGAGTTCAATTCCCAGCAACCACATGGTGGTTCACAACCATCCGTAATGAGATCTGGTGCCCTCTTCTGGTGTGCAGATATACATGGGAGCAGAATGTTGTATACATAATAAATAAAATAAATAAATAAATAAAATCTTTGCCGGGCGTTGGTGGCACACGCCTTTAATCCCAGCACTCGGGAGGCAGAGGCAGGTGAATCTCTGTGAGTTCTAGGCCAGCCTGGTCTCCAGAGCGAGTGCCAGGATAGGCTCCAAAGCTACTCAGAGAAACCCTGTCTCAAAAAAAACAAAAACAAAAACAAACAAAACAAACAAACAAACAAAAAGTCCTCCATGAGAGAGGGAAGAAAAGCAGAATTCACACTTGGGCAGAGAGACCAAAAGAGGCGGTGTGAAAACCAACAGTGAGCTCTGGCCTGAGGCAGAGTCCAGCAGGGTTTACCAGTCAGCAGCTGGGTGCCTGAGACGCTTGATGATCTGTGAGATCACGACCTCCAAGTCCTGGGTACACACAGGAGCCGCTGCTGCTTCTGCGGGTGCCTCTCTGAGACCTGGCTGGAACGGGGACGAAAACTCACCTTTGCTTCAGTGGAGACTTCCAAGAACCAAAACCTCACATGCCGATTCCCAACCGTGACAAAATAGCTGCTGTCCTCAGAAAAGGAGAGGGCGATGACT